TATAACTATTTTTGTTAAACCAGTGGCCAGTGTCCACATTATTAAACTGGATAAAATTGTTGCTCAGCCTAGTAGCTAACTACTGTTTTCCAAGTGTCTTGAACAAACGTATAAAACACTTAGCAAAAATGTTTTTTACATCTTAGACACATGAGATATCAGTTCTCTTCCTATCCCCTAGAGATCTTCTCCCCTATCTCCAGGAAGTCCTCTTCTCCATAGTCTGTAGCTCTCTTTTCCCCAACATGGACTGTTATGTCCATAGACCTGAAGCAAAATCATCATCCTGAGACTTCCGTTACTTCTATTGAAACCTCATTTCTCAGATTCCGTGTCTGGATCTTGGTTTATATATCACATTTTCTTTATCTATTCATCTGTTGAAGGGCACTTATTTGGTTACATAGTTTAGCTATTTTGAGTTCAGCTGCTATAGACATTGATGTGACTGTGCCACTGTAGTATTCTGATGTTAAGAACTTTGGGTAGGGTATTAAGCAAGGAGTTGGATAGCCGGATCAAATGGTGGTTCCATTCCAAGTTTTCTGAGAAGTCTTATACTGCTTTCATAATGGTTGCACCACTTGGCAATCCCATCAGCTATGTACGAGTGTACCTTTCCCCCCACATCCTCACCAACATTTATGGTTGTTTGTATTCTTGATGATTGAAGATAGAACGTCTTTTATCTAATTACTTACAAGTTACGGAGGAGGCCATCCCCTGCTGGAGTACTGGTCCAGGTTGGAAGACCTTAGATTTAGTTCTTTAATTACTCTTATCAAGTTTACCATATATTATATAATAGCCTTGTTGAGAGGTAAAAAAAAAAATAGGAAAGCATTTCAAAGTAATCTTGAAGTCCTCTATAATCATCACACATATGATTGAAAGCACCATTCCAGGAGAAGTAGATCATGTGTCCTGTAAGTCCTCTATAGGCCCTTCAGTGTTTCTCATTGAATTTTAAAAGGCCAGAGAGCAACTATTGAAGTGAGAAGTGCTGCCTGGTGACTTAAACCACAATGACACACTGGCTTCCAACTAGGAGAAATTTGGGAGTATCTGGAGAAGGGGTGGTGTGATGGTTAATCTGAATTGTCAACTTGATTGGATTAAGAGGCTTATGGGTGTGTCAATGAGGGTGTGTCTAGCAATGATTGGCATGTGGGATAGCCAACTGAAATGGAGACCCTTCCTAAGTATGGGCAGCTCCGTCCAATAGGATGATGACTTGGATGGAGTAAAAGTTGGAAGAACAAAGATTGCAGCAGATGCAAGCTCAATTCTTCTTTTTCCTTTTTTTGTGGTGCAGGGATCGAACCCAGGGCCTTGTGCATGTAAGGCAAGCACTCTACCAACTGAGCTATATCCCCAGCCCTTAATTCTTCTTGAATGGGTTCTTGATTACTGCTGTGATCGTCTGAGGCTATGGGACTCTGGCTTCTTCACTCATCCAAAGTGGACTCTGCCAGTGATTCTCCAGAAGCCTTTGGTCTTGGACTAGGGTAGCACTGTTGATCCTTCTTGTTCTGGAGCTTCAGCCCCTTGGACTGTTGTGCAGCTACTGGTTTGTTCAGCTCTCCAGCCTGTAGATGGCCACTGTGGACTTTCCAGCTTCTGGTTGTGTAAGCCATCCTAACAAATCCCCATTTTATAATTATCTGCCTGTTGATTCTGTTCCTCTAGAGAACCCTGACTAATACAGGTGGTGAGATTTAATGGTGATCTTGGTTCAAGAAATTGTGGTCCTAGGCAGGATGTTGGAGCCACCCATGCCAAGAAACGAGATATGGGTGAGCAGGCACCGAAGGTACTTCTGGGCTTTAGCTTGGTTCTACTCATCCACTGAGAGCTGCAGCATGATGTGCACACAGGGAACACTTAGGGGCTGCCATGGACCCATTTGTAAGCTCTGTTCCTGGCCCTGGTTGATTTGCTCAGAAACAGATGCCTGCCCCGAGTGGGGTCAGTGTTCTCTTTTTCCGGCTTCAGCACTGGAAGTGATACCGTCACAAAGACAGGAGCTACAGGTGGTCACATTTCCTACCACTCATCTGTAGTGAAACAGACGGAGGCTGTGTGGAAAGTGGAGAAAGAGCAGGGGTGAAGAAGGAGCCTCAGAGGTGCTTGAAAGCCCTGGCTCTGACTCTTTGGAGCGTCGTTGCGTGGCCATCCATCCCAGAGTTCAATCTGCAGCATTGTATTCCAAAGATCTGTATAGGCTTTATTTTTTGCTGAACCAAAATCAAACTGGGGTTGCTTGGCTTGAAACCTAATCAATACATTGAAAGGCGGGTGACAGGGAGGGGAATATGGAGGCATGTTCATATTTCTTTTGTAGCACTGGCCCAGGAAGCTCCCTGTCCCCAAGAATATGTGCTTCCTGGGGTGCACAGACCACAGGATGAACAAAGTCTGCTCAGGAGGCACAGAACAAAGAAAAGGCCAGGCAGGCAATGAAGGAGACGGCCAGGATCAATACCCAAAGCCAATACTAATGACCACAGAAAGACTTGGGGAAGGACAGCGAAAGCATAAGGGAAAGTACAACAGAGGCAAGGTAAGGGGCTTTGTGGGAGGCCCCCCACCTACACGGATGCATGTGGCAGAAAAGCAGGAGGAGGAGGAGATGGAAAATAGAAAATAAACATAAGAAATCTAGAGGATGCTCATTAGGAACAGTATTTCCCACTGGGCTTCTTTAAACCTTCTTGCATCCTTGTCCCTGACACCTTCTGATCACTCTCTGGTTTTCTTATTTTGAAGTTCTTGCATCAGTAGAAGGTGCTATCTATCAACCTTTGTCAATGTGCCACCCACCATCACTGGGGTTTTGAACTGGCCCCTGGGTGGAGGTGCAGAGCTGGCTGATCTGTCCACATACTCCTGCTCCCTCTCTCTGGAGTAGCTGGCACTAATCAGCAGATGCTGCCGTGGAGACACTCTGATCAGTCGGCCATTTAGAAGACAGCGTTCGGCACTCCTGATGTCATTAAACAGCACACAGGTCTATGGGTCACAGGGAGATGCTCGCACTGAGCTAATGGCAAAGTCCAGTTTCCAACTCCATTAACCAGTCATGGGGTGCTAAATGGTTATTAATTCAAAACCTTCTCGATTTAGAATGCGATTAGGGTCCACCTTGGATAGATAAACTTGAAGAAGAAGGAAATGATGAAAGGGAGTTTAGAAAACCTTTCGTCCAACCACTTGGAAAAATCTGGAAAAAAGTTTTGGATGTGATCCTTTCTTTCTGAACAACAGCAGCAACAACAAAAAAGGTTGACATGACTGGGTTACAAATAATGTGACTTGTAAATAAAGAGACATTTGGCCGTGGAGTTAGAGGAAGAAGAGATGCGGCCCCCCAGGTGGAGTGATGCTGAGGAAGGCATCCCAGGAGCTCAGTGCACGTATGTGGGGTTTGGTTTGCAGAGTGGGTAGGAGAGGAGATGAAGAGGCACCAACGTGGTTATTTTTCAAGGGAGAACAAGGCAAGGAGAGAAAGGCACAGTGACGCAGGGACCATCATTTCCACTTTAGTAGTACAGTGGACATGTGCTAAGGCGTTCCTGAAGTCCCAGCCTCCAAACATGCTGGAAAACGGACATGGAGGGTGCAAGGGACGAGGAGGAGGACGTGTGTCGCCTTCTCCTTGGTGTGTGCAGTTTCTAAGCCGATACACGAATGGGAGGTGGAACAGAAGGAGGACCTGGTGAGAGAGAAGGAAAAGCAGGACAGAGAGGAAGTTGGGTTCCCATCAGTTAGTTAATTAGGGTTTTTCATGTAGGAGAAGGTGGGGAGGAGAGAGGACAGATAAAGAACTCCCTTCCTAGCACCTCAGGAGGCTGAGGCAGGAGGCTCCCGGGTTCAAAGCCAGCCTCAGCAACTTAGTGAGGCCTTCAGCCACTTAGTGAGACCCTGTCTCTAAATAAAATATAAAAAGGGGCTCAGTGGTTAAGTGCCCCTGGGTTCAATCCCTGGTTACTCCTCACTCTCTCTCCAAAGAAAGACAGACAGAAAGAATTCCTTAACCATTGGTCACCCGGAGGAAATCTATTCAATAGAGAAACTTGGGATGAGTGAAGGGACTTTGGGCCCCTCAGAAAGAAGAGCAAATGCCAGGAAAGGTCTCCTGGACCTTTTTTCCCTGTACACTACAGATTCCAGGTCCTGGTGTG